GGACTGCGCGCCGGGCGGTCGTCGGATCCGTGGAGGCCGCGCTCTGCGGTGAGCTTGGTGACCGCTGGGAAGACGGGAGAGCGGCGAAACGTGGACCCCAGGCCAGGGACGGCGTTGGTGGGGGTGCTCGCCTCTGCAGACTTCCAGTTACAAGTCAGACCCAACCTCGCTCTTGGCACTCAGGGAGTAGCACCCACTTGCAGTTCTTCCTTCGGATCCAGGCTTCCGGAACCTGGGTTTGCTTCGGGGGATCGGGGAGAGAGGTAAACACGGCTCCGGGGAGCTCGTGCGCGAGGGCGCGGCCACCGGCGGTGGCGCTTGCTGGCGCCGTGAAGGTCACTTGGCGACTCAGAGGCACGGGATGGCCCGGCCCTGCCCGGGAGAGACGTAATGACGAGCCCAGGCTTGCGAGTTACATGTGTGACCCCCCAGAGACAGCGCGCATCTCGTGAAGAAACAGCCATGTAACACTCTAGAGCGTGTTGGAGCCATAAAACTCCCACTGCTAATATTACAGAGGAGGAAACAGAAGCCCAGGAAGGGACGGCGGTTAGTGGAGGCGCTGGATCTAGAGCTCAGATCGGGCTGTCAGTCCTGTCTAATAACTTTACAGAGGCCCTGCCTACCACTGTGTCTCCTACACCCATTCTGAGGTTTTTTGTTTGTGTGTGTGTTTTTGTTTGTGGTTTTTTGAGTCGGAGTCTCACTGTCGCCCAGGCTGGAGGGCAGTCTCCCCCCTTCAGCCTCCCAAGTAGCTGGGACTACAGGCTCACGCCATCACGCCTGGCTAATTTTTTTTTATGTATTGTAGAGATGAGGTCTGGCCACGTTGTCCAGGCTGGTCTCGAACTCCTGGACTCAGGCAATCCTCTGGAAGTGCTGGGATTATGTGAGTCTTTGCACCCGGTCCTTACTGTTTTAATTGTGGGTACATCTTCCTGAGTGTATGATGTGTTTTTCTATGCAAATTAGTCAACAGTCATTTATTGAGCATCTAATCTGCCAGGCCTCCTGCTGGGAACACAGCCTCTGCAACTCAGGAGTTTGCCATTTCTGGGGAAGACAGACCCAAATAAACAATCACCACAGCCTAGTCCAGTGACACTGCAGTGGAAAGAGCAAGTGACTTTACCTGAGTTGGAGAAAGTAGCAGAGAAAGGTGGCTTTTATATGATAAAAATTATGCTAATATTATATAAACATATCCTTATTAAAACAAAGCACAGCATGTCTCTATACATCCTCACCATTCCACTTTCCTCCCTAGGTATAGCTTATTTATGTGTGTGTGTGTGTGTGTGTGTGTGTGTGTGTGTGTGTGTGTATGAAAAATTAAAAAAAATTTTTTTCTATCATAAGTTGTTATTCAGTAATTATCATTGTGCATGTCACTTTGTGTATTTGTATAAATATTTTACTAGAAACCTAGATGTGAAATTGTTAGAGTAAAGCGGAGGCGATCAGTGACATTTAACTGGATCTTATAGGAGAGTAAGAGTGTTCCATGGAGGCAGAGGGAGAAAGAGATTCCCTTCAGAATGAACAGTGTGTATAAATCATGAAGAAACAGCAGACATAGATATCTATTTATTGTACTGTATATATATATGAAGGGGGACCCCAAAACACCTGGAATTTATTTATTTAAAAATTGTGTATTTATTCTTACGTGTTTGAACTTCTGTCACCTTCAAAGTACTCTCTGTTTGATGCAGTACACCTACTTAGACACTTTTTCCACTGCTCAAAACAGTTTTTTTTTTTTTTTTTTTTTTTTCTTTGGAGTCTCCCTCTGTCATCTAGGCTGGAGTGCAGTGGCACGCTCACAGCCACTACAGCCTTGACTTGCTGGGCTCAGGCGATCCTTCTTCCTCAGCCTTCCAAGTAGCTGGAACTACATGCATTCGGGCCACCATGCTGGCTAATTTTTTTATTTCTTTGTAGAGACAGGTCTTGGCTTGTTGTCCAGGCTGGTCTCAAACCCTTGGGCTCAGGCAGTCCTCTCGACTTTGCATCTCAAAGTGCTGGGACTACAGGCATGAGCCACTGTGTCTGGCCCCAAACGGTTTTTGAACTCATCAATTTTTATGCCTTTTAGTACTTCTGCCATTTTTTTGTTTCACCTCTTCCGCATCTACGAAACGTTTCCCTTTGAGGACTTTTTTCATTCAGTGAAACAATAACAAAAAAAGTCACTCTGGGTGAGATTGGGTGAATAGGGAGGGTGGAGCATGGGGATCATACTGTTTTTGGTCAAAAACTACTGAACACTCAGTGCAATGTAGGCAGATGCGCTGGTATGTCACTCATTATGAAATGGGCAAACGCGTTGAAAGAATCTCCAAAAAATTAAAAAAACCTCACTGAAGCCAATTGCAGTCTCTCATAAGGCTAGCTGGTACAGCTGATGGGTTCCTAGAACACTTACCTAGAGGGAGAAGCCTGTACTACAAGGTCCTGCCCTCCAAAAAATTAATTACGTTTTTTTGGGGTCCCCCTTGTACTTTAAACCTCACAACAACTCTAAGTGGTTAAGTAATACTATTCCAAATAAGAAACTAAGTCCCAGAGAGTTTAAGTAATTTGTCCAGGGTCACAGAGCTATAAGCTGGGAAGCCAGAATTGGAACCCAGGTTTATCTGCCTCTAAAATATTTGCCGCCTCTTTTCACTATAAAAATACATTTAGAGCACATACATACTTTTGTTGTATCCGGAGGGTAAGGTTATTGGGGCAGAGGAGGAGTAGGGGGAGAAGAAGGTTTGGTAAACTGTGCTGCAGGGGGAGGGGTCGGTAAAAGGGCATTACAGAACTTGGACTGTATCCTGTAATGTATGCCGTAGTGATTATCCAGGTGAGGTTAGATTTACCAGTGTGGAAACAGCAAAATGGGAGGTTATTCAAAGGTTAGGCTCAAAAGGTGAACATTAGGTATACATTAAGTCCCCTACATACGAATGAGTTCTGTTCTGAGAGTGCATTTGAAAGCCCAATTTGTTCGTAAGTCCTACGAAGTTAGCCTAGGTACCCAACTAACACAACCAGTTGTACAGTACCAGCCATGTCACCACTGCTTTTACTCTTGCTTCTGGACATCTGGACTTGAAATAAAGATACTGTACTACTGCATGCTATACAGCACTGTACAGTAAAGTACACAAAAGCATAACCACTGTAGAGGCATGCATGTGACAATGTATGCCAGACACGTGAACCAGCTTACATAATTGGATGTGCAAGCATACTTTTGCATCTTTGAAAGTTCTCAACTTGAAGGTTCATATGTAGGGGACTTACTATATAGTCTGTTACTCTTAAAAATTCCTCAAGAGGCCCACACTTCCTCTCTCAGTAAATCCCAAATAGCCGGTTTTCTCCTGTGTCGGGAAAGATTCATATTTTTTTGTTTGTCTTGTTTTGGTTTGGTTTTTGGTTGAGCACCAGATCAAGTGGTTGATTTGTAACTAGAGGACATGCTGTACAAAAAATGTACACTATACCTTTAAATAATCCGTGTGGAGTAGAGGCTTTTATCATGAGAGCTGAGACTCATCAAAGAACATGCTTATTTCAGGCCTTAGCCCACCGAGTAGAGATGCCCGAAATATAGTCCTCACTGATTATTTCCCCCACCCCCTGCAAAAGGAGTATACTCGAATTATAGAAAGTTAAATGCCAGTGTGATGACTACTAGAAAAACATACCTATCTTTGATCCAGTTACGTGAGTTACTTGCTGTGATTATGTTTTCCAATGACTAAGAGCCAGAATGTTGAGTTGAACATAATTTTTAAAATTGTTTTAATGCCTAACAGTGAGAAGCAATAATGAGTGTGAATTCAGACTGCTGGCTCTTTAAGTCTGGAAATTCACAAAGCAGCTAGATGGGGTGAGAAATAGTTTGATTCCAGATGTTTTAAGAGTTAATCTCGTAGACAAACATGAACCAAATTTTGAAAATCTGAAGGGAATGGAGAAACCTGTATTTTTATTTTTAAAATATATTTATTGGGATAAAATATATATAACATTTGCGATTTTAACCATTTTTTGAATATACAATTCAAAAATGGCATTTTTTACATTCACAATGTTGTACAACTATCACTTTTTATTTTTAATTATTTTTTATTTTTTGAGTTGGAGTCTTACTCTGTTTCCCAGGCTGGAGTGCACTGGCATGCTCACGGCCACCGCAGCCTCAACCTGCTGGGCTCAGGTGATTCTTCCACCTCAGCCTTCCAAGTGACTGGAATTACAGGCATGTGCCACCATGCCCAGCTAATTTTTTGATTTGTTGTAGAAATAAGGTCTCACCAAGTTGCCCAGGCTTGTCTCAAACCCAAGGGCTCAGGCAGTTCTCTCACCTTGGCCTCCCAAAGTGCTAGGATTATAAGTGTGAACCAGTAGGCCTGGCCTTTTTTTTTTAATTGAGTTGGTGTGTCACTGTGAGCTCATGCCTCCCAGTGTAAACCTGTATAAACCTAAGGTTTTCCCAGCACTTTGGGAGGCAAAGGCAGGAGGATAGCTTGAGCCTAGGAGTTCTGGACCAGACTAGGCAACATAGAAAGACTTATCTCTACAAAAAAAATTTTTTTAAGTAGCTGGGCATGGTGGCACACGCCTGTAGTCTCAACTATTTTCAGTTACTTGGGAGGCTGATGCAGGTAGGTCACTTTAGCCCAGGAGTTGGAGGCTTTGGTGAGCCATGATCATGCCACTGCACTCTAACCTGGGCAACAGAGTGAAAGCCTGACTCAAAAAATAAATAAATAAATTACCAAGTCATGAAGGGCATTGTGAACCTAGAAAGTATGGGAACCTTAGGTTTATACAGAATGTCCTCCAACTCACTTTTTAAATTCAATACTATATTTTGCACAACTTACAATGTACCACTTGTAATATAATATAACCATTTTCTTATTGGTGAACTTGCAGTTTGTTTTGTTTTTCACTATTACCAGGAAGGCTGCCCTCGAACATTTTTACACATATATACCTTTGTATTAATTCATACTGATATTCCCACAGGATAGATTTCTAAAAGTTAAACTATGAGGTAAAAAGGACATACATATTTAAAATGTTATTATGACTAAATTTCCCTACAAAAGTTTGCAAGATTATATACTACAAACAATGTATAAGAATATCCATTTCCTCAGTATTTGATATGATCAATCCCTTTAATTTTTTAATCCTTTTAATTTTTACAAATCTGACAAGATTACAGAGTACTGGCATTACAGGTGTGAGCCACTGTGGTTGGAGATTTTAACCATTTTTCTGTGGGGATTTATTTTTTTTTCTAGTTATTTGCATGAACTTTTTCTATTTTATTAATACTATTTATCTTTTCTGTGTTACAAATATTTTCTTCTTGCCTGACACTTGTTTTTAAAGTATACCTTATTATTTTTCCATATATAAATTTAGCATTTTTGTGAGGTCACACATTTATGATTTCTGATTTGTCTTGTTTAGCATGACCTTCTGGTCCCGAGATTTAAATTATTCACTCACAGGCCGGCACTTTGGGAGGCCAACATGAGAGGATTGCCTGAGCCCACAGGTTCGAGACCAACCTAGGCAACTTGACGAGACCCCCTCCCCCCATCTCTACAATAAGTTAGAAAAATTAGCTGGGCATGGTGGCGTGTGCCGTTGTTCCAGCTACTTGGAAGGCTAAGGCGAAAGGAGTGCCTGAACCCAGCAGGTTGAGGCTGCGGTGGCCGGGAGTTTGCCACTGTCCTCCAACCTGGGTGACAGAGTGAGACTCCAACTCAAAAAAAAAAAAAAAAAATTCACTCATGTTTTCTGTGAGTCCTTTGAAGATATTAGATTTAGATTTAAATTTGGAATTTATTTAAAGATAAGAAATGAGATAACAGCCTGCTTCATGTTTTCTCCTAGCTAGTTGCTCTACATATTTATTGACTGACATTTTCTTATTAACTTGAAATGTCACTGTTAGTAGCAGATACTGAATTTCCACATAAGGTATATTGTGTCTCTTTTCTAGATGTAGACCTTTAAACATTTTCCTATGCCAGTTGTACACAACCTAAATCAATTTAACTTCATATTTAATACTTTATTTTATTTTTTTGAGTCAGAGTCTCACTTTGTCACCCAGGCTGGAGTGCAGTGGCACACTGCTCATGGCCACCACAGCCTCGACCTGCTGGGCTCATGTGATCCTTCCACCTCAGCCTTCCAAGTAGCTGGAACTACAGGCATGAGCCACCCACCACACCCAGCTAATTTTTTTGATTTATTGTAGAGACGAGGTCTCGTCATGTTGCCCAAGCTGGTCTCAAACCCACATCTCAGGCATTCCTCTCGTCTCTGTCTCCCAAAGTGCTGAGGTTAAAGGCATGAGCCACCACGCCCAGCCCATATTTAATACTTTAAACAAAATTTAAAGCATAATTGTATTTACCTTTTCTTTTTCTTTTCTTTTTTTTTTTTTGAGTTGGAGTCTCACTGTTGCCCAGGCTGGAGTGCAGTGGCATGTTCACAGTCACTGCAGCCTCGACCTCCTGGGTTCAGGTGATCCTTCTGCCTCAGCCTTCCACGTAGCTGTAACCACAGGTGCGTGCCACCATGCCAAGCTAGTTTTGTATTTACTTTTCTTATAGCAGTCATTTTGTTGTGAAATATGAACACATTATTAAATTTTTTAGCTGTTTAAAAAATGTTTTGGATTAAAAACAATTTTAGACTTATAGAAATGTTACACAAGTAAAACAGTTCCTTTTATTCTTACCAACTAATGTAACCCTCTTATGCAGTGTGATTATTAAAATCAGGAAACGAATATTGATATAATGCCATTAACTAATCTATACATCTTATATTTCACCAGCTTTTTATAGTCCCAGAGACAATCTAGGATCCTCCATTGCATTAAGTTGTCAGGTACCCTTGGCCTCCTTCAGTCTGTGACAGTTCCACAGTTCCATAGTCTTTGTTATTCTTGACATTTTTAAAGAGTATTTGTTATTTAGTAGATTTCTTGTTTGAGGTTTTCTTCTGACTAAATTCAGGATATGATTTTTATTTTTTTATTTTTGGCAAGAATACTAAGGAAGTGCCGGGCTTGGTGGCTCAGCCTATAATCCCGCGCCTTGGGAGGCTGAGGTGAGTGGATTGCCTGAGCCCGCGGGGTCGAGACCCACCTGGGTAGTGAGACCTCATCTCTACAATAAATCAAAAAATCAGCCGGGCGTGGTAGCACATGCCTGTAATTTCGGCTACTTGGAAGGCTGAGGCGGAAGGATTGCTGGAGCCCAGCAGGTCGAGGCTGCGGTGGCCGGGAGCGGCCACTGCACTCCAGTCTGGGTGACAGAGTGAGACTCCAACTCACAAAAAAAAAAAAAAGAAAAAAAAAATACTAAGGAAGTGATGCTGTGCTCTTCTTAGTGCCTTGTGTCAGGAAGTATGTGTCTTCAACAGGTTTTATTACTAGTGAAGTTATATTTGAGTAACTGGTTAAAGTGGTACCTTTCAGGTTTCTCCCTTTGTTATTAAGTATCTTGTGGGGCAATACCTCGTTTCTCATCATACTTTCACCCACTAAATCTGTATCTATTGACGGTTCCTATCTGCAACGTTACTGGGGTGTTTGCTGGTGATTTTGTTTCCATGATTTCTACATTTATCAGTTGGAATGCCAGTATAGGAAAGATAATTCCTTCTCCCCATTTCTTTATTGATTCAATTATATCCCTATATCAGTATAGTCCCATGGACTTATTTTATGGCTTATTGTCCAATACTGTATTATGTTGTCAATTAAAGTTGGCCGTCTGTGTCCTCTGGTTCTGCATCCGAGGATTCAACTAACTGTGAACAGAAAATATTCAGAACCATCCTCTTCCCATAATAACAATACAAGAAAAATACAAATTTAAAAAGACAGTATAACAATTATTTACATAGTATTTACATCGCATTAGATATTTCTGTAAGTAATCTAGAGACCATTTAAAGGTGATTTAGTGGCTGTAAATTGAGGGTTCTGGCTCCTCCTTGGTTTTGATAATTTACTAGAACTGCTCACAGGACTCAGAGAATCACTTACATTTATTGATTTATTGTAAAGGATATAATAAAGGATAAAGATGAACAGCCAGGTGAAGGACACAGGGGAACATCTGGAAGGGTCCCAAGCACAGGAATGTCTGTCCTCATGGAGTTGGGTGCATTATCCTTCAGCACATGGATGTGTTTGCCAACCTAGACACTGTCTGAACACCATAGTTGAGGGATGTTTATGGAAACTTCATCATGTAGGCATGATCAATTATGACTATTATTATTTGGAGACAGGGTCTCACTTTGCCACCCAAACTCGAGTGTAGTGGCACGATAATAGCTCACCATAACCTTGAACTCCTGGGCTCGAGCAATTCTCCCACCTCAGCCTTCTGTGTAGCTAGAACCACAGTTTTGTGCCACCATATCCGACTAATTTTTAAAATTTTATCTAGAGATGGGGTATTGCTATGTTGCCCAGGCTAGTCTTGAACTCCTGGTCTCAAGCAATCTTCCTGCCTAGGGCTCCCAAAGTGCTAGGATTCTAGGCGTGAGCATGATCAATTATTAGCTCAATCTCCAGCCCCTTTCACCTACCTGGAGGATAAGGGAGGAGCCTGAGATTTCCAAGTTTCTAGTCATAGCTGGGTCTTTCTGTGACCAGCCTCCATCCTGAAGCTAATCTGGGAGCCAAGAGTCACCTCGTTGGAACGAGACAATTTTCTATCACTTGGGAAATTTCAAGGGATTTGGGAGCTCTATGTCAGGAAACTGGAATAAAAGACCAAATACATTAGAACAAAAGAAGCTCTTCCTGATGCTCTCCTATCACTCAGGAAGTTATAAGGGTTTTAGGCTCTCTGTCAGGAACCAGAGGCAGAGACTAAATATACATTTATGTCACAGTGTAAAATACATACATAGACTACATAGTTTATGAAAGTAAAAAGATCAACTATAGTTAATTAACTGGAACTAGGAAGAAAATTCTTTTTTTTTTTTTTTTTTTGAGTTGGAGTTTCACTCTGTCTTCCAGGCTGGAGTACAGTGGCACGCTCATGGCCACTGCAGCCTCAACCTGCTGGACTCAGGTGATCCTTCTACCTCAGCCTTCCAAGCAGCTGGAACTAAAGGCACGTGCCACCACAACTGGCTAATTTTTTTTTAATTGTAGAGATGAGGTCTCATCAAGTTGCCCAAGCTGGTCTCGAATCCCTGGGCTCAGGTAATCCTCTTGCCTCTGCCTCCTGAAGTGCTGGGATTACAGGCATGAGCCACTGTGCCCAGCAGAAAATTCTTTTAACCTACTCTTATTAATGGCAAAGCCACTTTGAGGTTTTGCTTATTAAAGTTTATTTATTTTATTTTATTGTTTTTATTTTTTCCAGGATTGAAGTCAATAAAGGAAAGCTGCCACAATTTTTGTACTGCTATTTCTAGAGATGTCACTTATAAGGAACTGAAAAACCTGCTGAATTCCAAAAACATTATGTTAATTGACGTTCGAGAGACATGGGAAGTCCTTGAGTATGGAAAAATCCCTGGTTCTGTCAATATCCCATGTAAGTGATATGCATCTTAGATTGATTCATTAAGAAATATATATTGGCTGGGCTCGGTGGCTCAGCCTGTAATTCCAGCACTTTGGGAGGCCCAGGCGGGTGGATTGCCTGAGCCTGCAGGTTCGAGACCAGCCCCAGCAACTTGGCGAGACTTCGTCTCTACAGTGAATCAAAAATTAGCTGGGCGTGGTAGTGCATGCCCGGTTACTTGGAGGGCTGAGGCGGAAGGATTGCCAGAGTCTAGCAGGTTGACCTTGGGGTGGCTTTGAGTGTGCCCTGCTGTCCAGCCTGGGCAATGAAGTGAGACTTCACCTCAAAAAAAAAAAAAAAGAAAAAAAAATATGATAGATAGGCCAGGCACAATGACTTAAGCCTATAATCCCAGCACTTTGGGAGGCCAAGGTGAGAGGATTGCCTGAGCCCATGGGTTTGAGACCAGCCTGGACAACTTGGCAAGCCCTCATCTCTACAATAAATCAAAAAAGTTAGCCGGGCATGGTGGCATGTGCCTGTAGTTCCAGCTACTTGGAAGGCTGTGTTAGAAGGATCACCTGAGCCCCTGAGCCCAGTAGGTCAAGGCTGTGGTGGCTGTGAACATGCCACTGCACTCCAGCCTGGGCGACAGAGTGAGACTCCTACTCAAAAAAAAAAAAAAAAAAAGAAAAGAAAAAAAGATATATATATTAAATACTGTACTGTATCTAAAATCTAATGGAAATTCCTGACATTTTCTTTCAGTGGACAAAGTGGGCAAAGCTCTACAGATGAACCCAAAAGACTTCAAAGAGAAGTACCATGAAGTAAAGCCATCCAAAGCTGACAATCTAGTGTTTTCTTGTTTAGCTGGAGTGAGAAGCAAGAAGGCGCTGGACACAGCAGTATCTCTGGGCTTTCACAGGTGTGTAGATGAAGGAAACAATGGATTCATAAACGTGTATTTCAGTGTTTCATATAACTATCAGTAAAGGTGGGACAATAAGACTAAGGGCCTTTATCTTTCCATCTTGTCAAGAGCAACACACTCTTTTAAATAGGCTTAGAGTCTAAATAGCATGATGAGTAGCCATTGCATTATTTATCTCTGAAGTTTCTACCAATCTGCTGTTATGAAGCAGAAAATGTTCACAGGACTAATTCTTTGATGTATATTTTCAGTGCTCAACACTATGCTGGAGGATGGAAGGAATGGGTAACCTATGACTTTTCAGAGAAGAAACAAGGAAATTGAATTCTGGAATGAATACAAGTTGCATTTTTCCTTGCATCCATGCAGCCTAGGTGACTGGAATGAGCAAAAGAATAAAAATCTAGTCCTGGTACCTTTGAACCTTTTTCTCATCTGTAAATTGAGAATACCACTCTTCCCTTCCTGCTTTCAAAGGCTATTGAGGAGATAATGTATGTGACTTGCTATGGAAATATAAGGGCCAAGACTCTAGAGACTAATTTATAAGTAGCTTAGTATAGTTCAGTAGTATTTCAAAAGACCAAGTTACTTGTATTAACCAATAACGTATGGCCATTTGTGTTAGGATAGTTTCTACTCATCAAAGAGGCTATGAGCTAGACATATAGATTAACAAGCACACTTGACCTTAATAAAATCAAGAATCTGGGATCCAGAATAGGAGGTAAACTTTGAACAATGAAAATACGTTAACACCCTCCAAAGACTTATGGCAGTTATATGACCAGCATGGCAGTGATATTTGTATGGCAGTAATATGTACAATAAAAAAAAATAAAATTAGTATGATTAATATAGGGACAGAAACCGGAACAGTGGTTGCTTTTCTAAAGATTAACTGGAAGAGGCAAGGAGGGAACTTTCTAGGGTGATAGAAATGTTCTATATCTTGGCTGAGGAGGTATTGGTTCATAGGTATACACATTTGTCAATACTCATTGAAGCAAACACCTAAAAATATATGTTTTCTATACATAACTATACCTCAATTAAAAAACAATAAAAATAGAAAAAATCTAAATGTAAATGCCTCCTACTAGCATGGGTATAATTGCTTTGAAATATTAAATCTTGCACCTGTGTTTTCCTGTCTGTCTCTTCAGACCTGCTTTCAGGCTCTTTCTATAAGGAGTTGGTTTTAGTTTGTGACCAGCCTGGGCAACCCAGTGAGACCCTCATTTTTACAAAAAATTAAAAAATTAGCTGAGTGTGGTGGCTCACGCCTATAGTATCAGCTACTTGGGAGGCTGAGATGGGAGAATTGCTTGAGCCCAGGAGTTTGAGGCTGCAGTGAGCTCCTATTACATGAATGCACTACATCCTGGATGACAGAGCATGATGATGCCTTCTCTTAAAAAAAAAATTATATGTGTATATATATATATATAGAGAGAGAGAGAGAGAGAGCGAGAGAGAGCCAGGCACGGTGGCTTATGCCTTTAATCCCTGAACTTTGGGAGGCTGAGGTGAGAGGATTGCCTGAGCCCACGGGTTCAAGACCTGCCTGAGCAACATGGTGAGATCTCATCTCTACATAAATCAAAAAATTTAGCCGGGCATGGTGGCACATGGCTGTAGTTCCAATCCCTTATAAGGCTGAGGTGGAAGGATTGCCTGAGCCCAGCAGGTCGAGGCTGTGGTGGCCATGAGTGTGACACTGCACTCCAACCTAGGTGACAGAGTGACTCTGACTCAAAACAAAAAAATATATATGCGCATATATAAAATATATACACACATATATTTATATGTATATATTATATAGTGTTTATTTTATATATATATATTTATACAGATACATATATATAATAAAAAAAGATCTGGTTTTTCATAGGCCATTGAAGAACCTTGAACTTACATATTTCTGTCATATATATATGACTGGAGTACGGAGGCATGCTCACAGCCACCACAGCCTTTACTTGCTGGGCTCAGTTGATCTTTGCCTCAGCCTTCCAAGAAGCTGGAACTATAAGTGCACGCCACCATGCCCGGCTAATTTTTTGATTTATTGTAGAGAAGAGGGTCCACCAAGTTGTCCAGGATGGTCTTGAACCCCTGAACTCAGGCGATCCTCTTGCCTGTGCCTCCCAGAGTGTTGGGATTACAGGTGTGAGCCACTGCGCCTGGCCTACTTTTATTTTTTTAAGAAAAGCACTTAAGATAAACAATGTAGCTGGGCTCGGTGTCTCAGCCTGTAATCCCGCGCCTTTGGGAGGCTGAGGTGAGTGAATTGCCTGAGCCTGTGGGTTCGAGACCCGCCTGGGCAGCGAGACCTCATCTCTACAATAAATCAGAAAAGCAGCCGGGCATGGTAGCGCGCGCCTGTAATTCCGGCTTCTTGGAAGGCTGAGGCGGAAGGATCGCCGGAGCCCAGCAGGTCG